TCCTCTACATGCTGTCAACCCATCACCACATCAACATGTCCCAAAACATCAGCCGTTAGCTGTTAGTGTAAGGTTTTAGCACTAGTATCCTGTTAGCTGTTGTGTTTTTAGTGTTTTGTCTATCTGTCTTTTGATGTTAATTACTCTACTCTCTCTCTCCAGGTGTCGGCACTTCCTGTCCGTGTGGCACCTGCTAGACTGATTGTTGTTCCCGCCCCTGATTGTGTCCACCTGTGCCCCATTACCTAATGTGTATATTTAGTCCTTCTCTCCCTTTGTCTGGTGTTGGTTCGTCTTGTGATGTCGTTATCTCCATGCCTGTTTGCCAGAGATCCATGTTACATTACCTAGTAGAACCTAGTGATTCTATGGAGAATCCTAGTAGAGCCGAGTAGTCATTATTGATAGCTTTGGTTTCTTTACAATAAAGAATATTACCAAGCAACGGAATTGAGCATCTGAGTTCTTACGAGGCCATCGTATCAGTTAGCACACAGAGCTCACAGCTCCTCATATCTGTTCAGAAACTGGACAAAAGTTAAACATGTACAAACCGGATGAATACAGTCGCTGCATTATTTCTGTCTGCATCATGTGACTTCGGACGGAGCAGCTACAGCTTAGTTTAGCCTGATCGATCCGATGTCCATTCAGAAAACACGCATTTTAAAAGGTTTTTCGCCTGCCGTCTTGTCTGCACACTTGTCAAAGCATTAATTCATCGTTTTTACATACTGTATCAGTATGTTGTTACTTCGGCATCATTTTGAACCGTGTATTACAATGAAATCACGGTAAAATATGTTCATTTTGTTGTAGTTGGTATCTACCATAGTATTTACATGGGGTTGGGAGATAAGCCCCGAATATTCGCATCGCTCAGATAACTCGAGTTTCACCGCCGCTGTCAGCTGTGTTTGCTCCTGTCATTCAAACAGGACGCGCTGGAGAGGGGGGCAGGGCTTATATAAATATGTTGACATTAAAGTTGAAATAATACAAATAAAGTTGAAATGTTGGATCTTGAAAATAAATCAAGTGTTATATACTGAACAACCCTAGATAATCTCCTTTAGTTTGAGGTCTGTGCATCATATGTGAAACCTATTTTCCATTTAAACTCTGGAATATGGCCTCTTTTCATCCGAGCAGATAGCAGCTGGTCAAAGAGATTTTTCTTCAGAGAGCAATAGACAGGGAAATTAAAGGGCCCGCTGTGAAACATAGTCTGTCAATGCTAACAGTCCGAAACATCCCCGTCTCTGATTCCTTCGGCCAGGCTGCGGCCAAGAGCATCTACATGCTGATATTAAATCATCTTCCTGTTTTATACTTTTTTTGCTACTGAACGTCCCTGAGCTTTTTTCTCTTTAGACATAATGTGCTTTGCCAAGAACGTACTTCGGTACCTCTGATGTATTTATTACCAAGAAAAACTTAGTTTTACCTCTGGTGAGTCTCAAATGTACAGCCAAGATCAGTTACAACTCAATGTTACAAGGGGTAGTGAAGTTTATTTATATAAATAAGGATACATCTTCTCATCTAACTTTCAAATATTTAAATTTGTATTTTCTGGAAATAACGGTATTATGCCTTACCATAAATGCTGTCTCATGTAAAATACTCTCAATGTAGAATGGCTACATCCTAAACCCTTAAAATGTCAATGGGATCCATGTTGGACAATAACGGTGTACTTGTAAAATATTGTTATACAAAGTCTTTTAAACCTGGATATGAATTTGTGAAAAAGAGACTCCCTTCTCTGCAAGCATTTTTTTTTTTTAAATGTTGGAAAACACAGTAAGGCCAGATATGTTTGAAATAAACATGATTCTGGTCACATGTATGGCCCTCCTGCCTTTTTAAGAGGAATACTGAAGTTGATGTGAGTACCATATGATACTGTGTAAACACCATAACATTCCTGCTGAGTAAATAGTCACACCATTAAACTATACTATTGGACATTCACTGCCTGTGGGATTCAGACTGATTGATTAAAGTGTCCTTGTAAGACACAGTGTAGTTGCAACACTTATTAGCCTATCACTAGACGTTCCCTTTAAGCCGTCTCCCGGGTGGAGACGTGTTAATGGTGGCTAGTGCCTGTCATGAATCTGGCAGCCTGACTTTCCACTTCACCTCCACAGAGGAGCTGTACTGGGTTGCTAACAACCTTTATATGAACAGCAGGGATACATTTAAAGTTTGTACAAACACTTCAACAGTGCTGGCCACATAGTAGGCTATGTGGTGACATCAACAAACCTCAAAATGTTCGGAAAGATGTTTGATTTAAAGTTAGCATTAACACGTTACAAGAAAGAGTGTAACATCTTTGGGAAATACACCTATATATAATTTCTTGCTCTGAGCCAGATGAGAAAAAGGATACCACTTTGACGGTTAGTTTAGCATAAAGACTGAAAACAGGCGGGAACTGCTAGTCTGGCAATGTCCATATGTATTTTAAAAGCAGCTACCAGTTAATCTCCTCTAAAGTTTACAAAATTAGAAGTTGAACCTTATTTTATATTATTTAAATCAATGTTTATAGTTGTATGTGCCTAGCTAAGGATTAGCCCAGCACATAACTTTATGTTAATCTTGTCCTTTTTACACATTTTGAACAGATAAAACACATTATTTTAAAACAAATTATCGAGTTTTCTTTGTATTTATTGACAAAAGGAATGAGATGATAACTAACTTTTAATATGCTGGTAGGTGGATTATGTTACCTTTGAACAAAGACAAGCTAGCTGTCTCCTCCTTTGCTAAACTAAGCTAACCATCTGCTTGCCGTAGTTTAGTAAATTCAACAACTCTTGATAAAACAGTGAGTAAAGTGATTTTTCCAAAATGTCCAACTATTTTACTAAAAGTATTAGGGTAAACTAGAAACATTACATTTCAAAATGTTACAAACTATTCTACATAAAATGATACTATATGATTAATAGTTTAGGCCACACGGTGGCTGTACTTAAAACTAAATACCATTTCTAGTTAAAATGATAAATTATTATTCAAGTTACTAAAATGTAGGGCTAGTGGAGGTTAAAGTGAGTTTCCCGGATACAGATTAAGCCTTGTCACAGAATATACAAATATCCATTAAATATCTTTACACAGAGAACCAGGAAATAATGTTTGTCTGGAGAAGGTTCTAAAATAATAATAAAAAAGGAACTTTTCCATGCCGTGTTGAGTATTTAATCGAAACTGATTGGGTGTTGCTTAGGAGTAGAAATGGTTTCAAAAATCTTTTCACAACTTCTATAATGTAATGTTAATTTAGATTGATATTGAGTAGAAAAGTAACACTCTGGAGACGGCGCCTGCCAAAGCGCACATGAGTCAGAAAAGCAAAGCTCAAACACCCTCAAACAGCGCAGGGAAAGCCAAATGGATAACTCACAGATGAGTGGCAGCTCTGAGTCTGACAATCCCTCTATGAAATGTCTTTGGTGCTTTACTGACAAATTGATCCGTTTTGGCTGAGGTCCCCACTTCTCACCCAGGGAAGAATAAAGTCTCAGACATTCTGTAATTGTCCTTGAGACTGGACTGGACATTTCCACCATGGCAAGAAGTTGAAGCGGAACAAATGGCACATTCTAGAATATGGAAATGATATTTGTGGTGTGCAGTGCAGCGGCAGCCAATTCGAGATCCGTCCAATTTTAAAATGAGAGATTTCAGCGTCTGCATGAGTCTTTATTAGTAATGTTTGTAGAGGCTTTGGCTCCTGTACCTTTAGCGGGTTTGAGGGCTGTCAGTGTGCCGGGCTCCCTATAGGTCTGAAAGGGCACCCAGGTGTCAGCCTACCTCCAATATTCGCTGAAACTTTATAATTGAATCTCGCAGAGCTTCTGACTTTCAGTGGAATGCCAGAGATTTAATGTCGGGGAGCTTTGAGGAGCCTTGTGGAAGTTTCTGTTCAGTCTGCTCTTATTTTACTGTGCACTGTGGTTTGTTAAAAATGAACCAAGGGGAAGCAGGGCAGTTAAAGTGTCACTTTAACTCTTATTCCACATAAATCTGCAATTAAAAAGGAAGATACTTTTATTATTTATATGGATAGGAGGTGCTATCATCTGTTTTCACTCCCAATTTACCATGTATGATGCAATATTTCATACATTCCCTAATTCTATTTACACATGTTAAGTGCAGATTCTTTGTTGAAGGCACAATATATTCTAATAGATCTTCTGCCACTAGGGGCATCTCAAAACAATAACAAAAGACAGATTTTTTTACTTGGAGCCAATAATTCTAGGAGTAAAGAATAAAGCAGTGTCACATAATAATGAGTGTTTCTCCATCACAGCTCAGCAAACAAGGGATGTCTCGGAGGGGACTGCAAGCTGACTTGCTACAAATGTTGGCTCAGCTTGTTTCTCGTAAAACTTAAGATCCAGATGTTCAAGAGGTTTCTATCATGAGCCGAATTATCTGCAGAGATCTTCTCTTCTCCAAAACAAACAAACATGGTGAGTAAAATCAGTGTTTCTCTAAAAGCGGTTAAGCAGACATACATAACATTGAGAGATTGTGAGCTAACCGCTAATGTTAGCACAGCTTGTTTCTCTAAGGGTCAAAACGTTCAAGGACTAATACTTTCGTTTGGCTGAAATACAAAGTTAAAAACCAACCACATTTTTTAAGTCGTAAAAAAGGAACTATAAACTGAATAAAAAGTACTTTTATGGCAGCTTTTGGAAGCCATTCCAAACATTAACGCATGCTAAAAGGTGCACACATGAAACCTAGATTAAATTATTTCTCTAGGTTTGAAATTATAGTTAAATTGTTGCTAAGATTTGGGTTTATTTACATACAAATCCTTACAAAATATATAATATAGGTCTATTTGTTTTTAAACATTTAATGCGGAAGTGCCATTCTCCACTCAAGTAAGAAAACTCATCTTATTGCTTTACCTTGTAATATTTTCTTGAACAGTGACAAACAATGACATCTCTCACCCATGTGGTAGACGAAGTTGGCCTCCGTTTCGTACGATGACGCCGGAGAGACAACATCTCGATCGCACTCGTTGGAGCTGAACAACTCGGAGTGGCTCCTCCTCTTGCGGGCTGGAGCAACGCCATTGGCCTCCCCCGCCATCATGTGTCTCAGGGTGTCGTTCAGGTAGCGGTTCAGCAAACTGCTCTTGTACTTGGATGGAGGTGAAGCGCTGTCGTCACTGTTGGCAGAGTCCGCCATGGCGAGGACGCCGCACTGCTTCTCGAGCACACTCTTGTGGGACCTGCCAAAGTCTGATTGGCCGATGGGAGTTTGTAAGGGACAGTGTTCATCTGCAGCAAAGGAAACAAAACAGACTTATCTTAATGTTGTACTGATTTAAAGGTCACCTATTATGCTATATTTGAACAATATATTATAGGTCCATATCTATACAAAACATGTCTCTGCGGTGTTTTGCTAAAAAGACCATGCCTCATACCCCTCTATTTCAGCCCTGTTACTAAAGTGCTTATTCTGGTTCAGTAGCTGCAGGGTCATGCCCCCTTTTTCTCTTGCAGGTTTACCACAAGGTGAGTACCTTTTTATATCCGTCTCTTTTACCTATTCTCTCCAGTACAGCGTTAACTCTGAGTGTTGGCTATGCTTGCTAATGTAAACAAAGACCATATTACTTCCAAAACACATTGCACATTGTTTCTGATAGCAACGTTTCGGATTGGGCCGTGGGTGTAAAGCCAGCCCACATTTGTGATGTCGTCATACATTACGCCAACGAAATCGAGCAGGCTTCCGTTTGTTTTAGAGATGGGGGGAGAAGGAAAAGAGAGAGGGTTTTATTTTCTGACACTTTGTGAGTCTCCTTACACAACGGGGAACCATATTTATGAATAAAAGACATGAAAAAGTGCATTTTGCATAATAGGCGACCTTTACATTAATAAGAAACAAACAAACTATAATAAACCAGACCTAACCCTAACCAGACCTATATCCAAAAAATGTAAATGACAATATTCTTAATAACTCCACAAAATGTGCCCGTACCGTCTGATTCTGAGTTATCGCTGCACACGCTCAGTCTCTCAGCGTTTCCCTGGATGTATTTATTGTACAGTTTGATCCTCAGGGCCCAGCTCAGGTCTGGCTGTCTCACTGTGTTCTTCAGCCTCCGCCGGGCGTTTGCAAACCAGTTGGAAACCTGCACAGATGCACCGTGTTATATAACAGCACTGGCTTATTTTTAACCCACAGAATACAAATCACATCCCCTGCTTTCTGGCACAGGCTAGTCTCTCACCTGTACTAGAGTCATGTGAGAGCCCAGAGCCAGCAGGACCTTCTCCGTCTTGGTGGGGTAGGGGTTGTCCCGGTGTTTGTACAGCCAATGTTTGAGCGGCCGGGCCATGTCCTGCAGCACCTGTCTCTTGTGGCGAACTTTGACCCCACCCAAACGAGACCTGGAGGAATCACATGTTGACTAAAAGTTTCACAAAGACCACCTACAATCCCCTCTACACATGGAACAACATGATGCTAAAAGTCTGTCAATAATGTCCTTGGGAGTCTTAAATATGGGTGTGTGGCAATCTGCCAGGTGGCACTTGAAAAGTTCTCTTTTCTGTGATTTAATTTATGAAGTTTTTATTTTTTTATTTTTTACAAAGACTTAGTAGTTCAACAAATAACATTTCAAATATTAATATTTTCAAACAAAAAAAGTTAATTTGTCCCTTTCTGTATAATGACTGATATTGTATTAATACAAATTTAAATCCAATTTTATTTAGCCTATGTATACACCAAAAAGGAAACACTTCTTATCACTTCACTTCTTATGTATGTGTAAGTTTGTGTCCTGAAGTGCCTTTCACATTTTCTGTTTTAACAAATCTGTGACATTTTCTACGGTATGTCTTCATTTTGAACTGTTTTGTATTATTTAGAAGCCAGCCTTGTGTCTGTGTGCCAACATGCTCTTTCACGATGTGTATGGGAGCCTATGTTGTTTATTGTAGCTAATTAAATGTATTTCAATTGCATTGGAGTTTTTCTGTGTTTAGATTTTGCAACTATTTTCAATACATGTCCAATATCTTTCTGAATTTTTCTTTCTCTGATGTACTGTAAGAAATATAAGAAAAGCACTACATCAAATTATTCCAAGAGAAACAAATGATGGGTCCTTGCTTAAAAACAATTGAGAACCACTGCAGTAAAGAAATGCCAAGAACTATTGAACTATGCATTTAAAGTCAGAAACAACACTTAGTGCCACGTCACTTTATCACTTTAAAAAAAGGTATATTACAACTGTAAACAAAAGATGTGCCTCTGTTTAACCGCTTAAAACAATTTCCAACACAAAAAAAAAAGGGCGTACCCGTATCTTCTGATGGGAGAAATGTCCCCGTTGGTCTCCTGGCACCTCAGCAGGTCTGCGTTCTGCCCGTCTGGTAAACTGCTCTGAGGCAAATCCACACAGCTCAGCCTGCTCCTCTCCTCTGCCTTAATGTCGTCCTCAAAAACAAGAGTATCACACTTCATCTCAGCAACTTTGCTCATTATCAAACAAGTAAAGTTCTCCTCGATCAACAGGTGCATCTCAGGACTTCTAGATAGAAACAGCTGGTTTCCATTCTGAATACACCCAAAAGTGTAAAGATAATACAAAAAAGTATTTCTGTCCCCGCAGGAGCAGGGACTGAGCAGATGACAGAATCTTGTGAAAGAATAAAGTTTGAAAAGTCAGAGGATGGTTTGGTTGAGCTGTGTGAGGAGAGTTCAAATAACCTGCTGCTGTGCCGCCTATTGGCTCTCATACCGTCCAATCACTTCTCTGGAGAGCCCTGTAAAAGCAAAACCTTGCAGAGAAAGTAGCCTCTACTGCACACTCTGGGATATGAAAAATATTACACATGACTATCAGCAAATGCGGTTGTCAGATTTACTAGTGAGATTTAGCCTGGTGTTGCTCCGACATGCCCTCATATTTTCTACACGAGGCGTACGAATCTCTTGCGGTTTGGACAAAAATGGTGTCAGCAGATATTAATGCATGTTATACCAGGGGATTCTGGAAATGTATGGGTGTAATTGCATGGTTGCTAATAACCAGACAAACCACCAATCCCTGCCTCGTGTTAGACAGTGAATCCTGCTGAGCTGAAGTGGATTTCACTACAAATTGGCTCCTCACGTGGGTAACACAAACACTGGAAAATGAAAATGAATCCAAGCCTGTGTAATCCTCAGACTGTTGCACATACGGAGTCAGAAAGTGTGTCAGCGTGTGCATTTGAGTGTCAGAATTATACATCTAAGCAGGGCTTATCCAACCATAATGCTTATTTTTCTGGAATATTTTCATCAATTTCGAGGCAACAAGGACTGTAAACAATTACAAAATGGGTCTGACAGAAGCTTGCGTTGTCAATAGCGTGACTTCATGACAACATGCTGGCAATGGGTTCAGTATTTGAAGACTGTGGTTTGACTTTAGTTGTAATCTACGTATTTTTCCCTCTTGATGTCCAAACAGCACATACTGTTTGGATATATATAATGACTTTACCATGCACATGCAAAACGTGATAATATTTATGCAAACACGTGATAAAATGCGTTTCTCCTGCCTTAACTTTTGAAGGTTATGGCTACAATCCGAGCAGCACTTGTTGAACCGTTAAACATATTAAAGGGCTCCTTAACTCCCGTCCCCACTGTTCATAATTCAGCAGTATCAGTGGAGAGGTTGAGTTTCAATAGTTTCAAAGCTGAAAAACATATGGAGCAGAAGCATCCCCTTTAGGTGCAGTAAATTCCTCGCTCACATTCCTCAGCAGTGGTTGGAGAATGCTAAATGCTATCACACACCATTGACTCCCGTCCCTCTGTGATGTGTTCACCGGCTTCACTGTTGATACTAGCTGGGAACACACCTTCATTCGGCAGCCAAGAGAGCAGTAAAGTACACTGTGAACGGATATATATCTTTTTTTGGCACTCTTGTGTGTGCGTGTGTGTCTTGCAGGTTCACAAACTCCAGACCAGGCTTCAAACCAGGCCTATTCAAAAGACCAAACATCAAGAAAAGTGTGTGTTATAGAAATGTATTGTATGTTCAGATATTCTGAAGGATTGGCTTATTATAAAATGCTACATTCCAGCCAATTCAACAGTTTTTAGCTAAAAGCTCTGATAAACCTATTGTATAGGCTTTAATCTGCCTAATATTGCCTAACCAAATATTTGCCTCAGAAGTTGGCAGACCTAAAAGAAGAGTGCATATTTGACTAATATGCCAACCCAGTCTCACGGCATTTCGTGTTCACCAACACGATTTTTAATCTATTGATTCATGTTCACCAACACGATTTTCCCCTTTTTTTCGTGTTGCAGAGCACGATTTTAAAAGCAATGTATTTCTATTGGTAGTCTCACGGCATTACGTGTTATAGGAAGAACGGAAGCTGTGTGGTCCATAAAAACATGTTCTTACTCAATATCAAGCCACAATTATAGTTTTTATTTTAAATCGTATAATTTCTGACTTTTGTTGCCATCTGTGAGGAAAATAAATGGGGCTGAGAGCCTCAGGATACTGAAATCTGTATATATGTAAATCTTTTTTTCCTTCTAATTTGTTATTCTTTTCAAAATAACACACTGTTATTTACTCACCAATAACACACAATTATCCTTGTTTTTATTTATTTGTTTAATTCCATAAT